CTGTTAAAACACAAGGGAAGTAACCAGAAAAATATGATTAGCTACAGAAACGCCTCTTACTTTTTTTTGTTTTGTTAATCCTCACCTGAGGATACATTTACATTGATTTTTAGAGAGTGGAAAGAAGGGGGAGAGACAAAGAGAGAAAAGCATCAATATGAGAGAGACACATCAATTGGTCTGCCACCAACGTATGTGCCCTTGACCGAAATTGAACTTGCAAACCCTTTAGTCCACAGACTGATGCTCTATCCACTGAGCCAAACTGCCTGGGCCTTTTTTACTTTCAAAATGCAAATGTGAAAATTCAAGACCCAGCTTTCTTTCTTTCTTCTGGACTATTATGTTTTGCTAAAAATGTTTACTCCCTCCTCCCCCCGCTGCCCGATAAGAGTTAGACTTGAGCCAGTATAGCAACATATTAATAAAATTATATAAGTGTTTCCAAGGTAGGGTAAAGGTAGGCTTACAGATGTTCTTATGGAACATAATACTATCCTATATAATAACTTATATAACAAAAGGCTAATTGCAAACTGACTGAATGGTGGAATAATGGGTTGCTATGATGTGCACTGACCACCAGGGAGCAGACACTCAACACAGGAGCTGCCCCCTGTGGTCAGTGCGCTCCCACAGGGGAATGGCTGCTCATCCAGAAGCTGGGCTCATGGCTGGAGAGCGCAGCGGCAGTGGCAGGAGCCTCTCCCGCCTCCGTGGCTAAGGATGTCCAACTGACGGCTTAGGGCCACTCAGGGGTGGGCCTAAGCCATCAGTTGGACATGCCCTAAGGACTTTTGAACTGCAAAGGGGGCAGGCTGGCCTGAGGGATCCCCGCTAAAGCCTGAATTTTGTGAACCAGGTCTCTAGTAATCTATACTAATAAAAAGGTAATATGCTAATTAGATCAATCGTCTTCTGGATGACCTTCTGGACGTCCTTCCTGACAAAGCCGGAACTGGGAGAAGCTGCCTGCCCCGCAGTCCTGGGCACCAGTGTCTGTGGTTGAAGCCCAGGAGAGGGAGAAGCCATCTGCCCTGTGGTCCCGGGCGCCAGCAGCCAACCCCGGCAAAGCCGCACTCCCAGGTGGCTGTGGCTGTGGCTGGCCCAGGCGGAGCTGGCCCAGGTCCTGGGTACCTATGACCAGCCAGAGGGAGGAAAGGTCCTGGGTGCAGGGCCAAGGCAGAGGCAGTTAGGGGCGATCTGGCCAGCAGAGGTAGTTAGGGGCAATCAAGCAGGCAAGCAGAGGGGTTAGTGTTGGTCAGGCAGGTAAGCGGTTAGGAGCCAGCAGTCACGGATTGTGAGAGGGTGCAGGCTGGGCTAAGGGACCCCCAACCCCATTCATGAATTTCATGCACTGGGCCTCTAGTCTCTCTATATAAAAGCCTAAGTGACCATTGTGACCGAATGACCAGAATGACTGGTCGACCAGTCACTATGATGCACATTGACCACCAGGGCGCAGACGCTAAATGCAAGAACTGCTCCCTGCTGGTCAGTGCGCTCCCATAGCCAACCTCCATGGCCTTCCCCTCCCCCGGGCCTGCCAACCTCCTGCAGCCCCTCCCCCACTGTTGGCCAACCTCCCGCACCTTCCCCTCTTGGCCAATATCCTAGAGCCCCTCCCCCCGCCAACTTTCTGCAACCCCCATGGCCCTGATTGCCAGCCAGGTGAGGGACTCCACCCATGCACAAATTTGTGCACTGGGTCTCTAGTTAATAAATAATAATACAAGCATAAACTGTTTTATGTATTCATAACTATAAGCCTACTTTTGTCCCGCCCTGTGTGAACCCTTTTCTAAGCTCTCATGAGAAATTTTGAAAACAGCTTTCATGTATTAAACAAATGCTAGTAATAAAAAAAACTTTGCAATTTTCATATATAAAAAAGTACCATTGTTATAATATTGAACAATTATACTCATTTCAGTGACTACAATTGCCATTCAGAATCTTTTTCCTAGCTATAAAGACTTTTAAGTTTATTTTTAACATAAACTCCAGAAATGTCTACAAATAATGACTAAAAAAAAAAAAAAATCCATTGAAAGTTTAAGAGTAGATGTGAAGGTTTTCCAAATCATAAGCTAATTATTTTTAAAAAGGATAATCCTATGTGTGCCTATGTTCAATCTCAGTGGTGATAAGTTAAAAGGCTGAATGACTGGGTTACTATTCCACAAATATGTATGAGTGTATCACCCTCTTTCTCTATATGTGTATGTCTCTTTGGGTGTCTAAAATCTCCCTACTTTTCACTGTGTCTAAGGCTCTTCATGCAATGCTGGCCCTTATGCCTGCTTTTTATCTCCCCTATGAAGTGCCTTCTTAAGTAATTGTAAACTGTAAGTGGGAAGAAAGAGGGGTACCAGTATAAAGTATAATTATACTTTAGAAGTCAATAGGATTAGTTTTAACAAGATAGATATGTATTTTAATTTTATCCCCATTTCATATAGTAATATTTATTCTAAAAGGGTGATAAAAGGACAAGCTGAGAATGAAAGGGGTTTCAGTTGAACCATACATTCTCTGGGGTGTGGGGGAATAGCAGGGGGAGAGAAATATGAAAAGCCAAAGGGGACTTTCTGAGAAAAGAGGAAATAAGAAATAAAATAATATGGGGGCAGGAGATAGAAGTCTTAGAAGATGACAACCAAAGCATAAGGAGATTTAGCTAATGAAGATATAGAATGCAAATGCAGAATGGGAAGGATCAATAATAACTTATAATGAGGGCCTATAGTGAAAGTTAGAATTATGAGAAAAGATTTGAAAGACAAAAACTAAGAAAGTGGCATCTGACTTAGTATCTATAGTGACCGAAGATTAAAAAAAAATATATATATATATATAAAGGGTCCTAACTATAAAGTAGTTTAGTTGTATAGGTATCAAAAAAAAACAAGGACTAAAAGAAGATGGGTAGCCGAAACCGGTTTGGCTCAGTGGTAGAGCGTCGGTCTGTGGACTGAAGAGTTCCAGGTTCGATTCCGGCCAAGGGCATGTACATTGGTTGCAGGTACATCCCCGGTAGAGGGTGCAAAGGCAGCTGGTCGATGTTTCTCTCTCATCGACGTTTCTAGCTCTCTCTTTCTCTCCCTTCCTCTCTGTAAAAAAATCAATAAAAGTATATTTAAAAAAAATAAAATAAAAGAAGATGGGTATCTCTAGCTATAAGGGTTAGGGAGTAATGAAAGGATTCAAGGCAAGTGACAAAAGGAGAGCATTTACTGCTACAACCTCAAGATTGATTGCACAATGTGAATCATGCAATACATCTAATTGTTTCTTGAATTGAATTACTAGTAAGTTACTATTTTTATGAGACACTGACCCCTGAAATAAGAGGTCCCCTACATTACATCCAAAGTCAAATAGTGCATCAAAGGACTAGGAAAGCTTTCAGTATTTTTTGCCACATGGATGCCTCTATTAAAACCAAACATTAGAGGTTTATTTTTTGTATGGAAAAATCATGAAATTTTATAGTTGCCTTTATTACTTAATTTTCCACATTTTATTTGTTCCTTGCTGTACATTTTGGAGATGTAGCAAGAGTTTGACAGACAAAAAGAAGTAGGACTTAACATGTGTCCTCAGTAAGCAGCTGCTCAATAAGATAATATTTCCAGTTACTGGCTTAGAAAGCAAGATTCTGAGATTACTGCTGGACGTAGGCCTCTGACTTGTCAACCAAAAAAGTTACTTCCTCTTCAGTATAATGAATTGCAGAAGTACAGTTAAACAGTTGTCTTTGAGGGTTTATTAGCAGGCATTGGATATGGTGGGTGAGCAGATACTGATTTTTTTTTTCCTGCCAGTGACCAAAATATTTACGAATTTCATAAAATGGAAAGAACTTTCTAAAAAATTAATAAGATCTGTTTCACAAGTAAGCAATTCAACTGGAACACTGAATAGTAGAAATGATAAAGATTTGTTCTTATGGTTCATAAAAAATTTATATCAGGGCATTCAAGTAAAGTTATTTTCTGTGTTCTGATTTAATGAATCATGTGAGTTGTATCTGGTTGGGTGACACAAATGCTGGCTCAGTGAAGCCTACCCTAATGTCTCCCAGCACAGCCTTCCTTGGGACAGTAAGTCCACAATAACATGTCTGACTAAAGTAATATAAGAAAAAGAGAAAGCAGCACTGGAGATGCTGTGAGGCTGGCTCATAACATTTCTTGACCTGTGAGTGTCCAGTATGTATTCAATGTCCTATGGGCTTGAATGATCTAACAAGTACCAAAAGCAACAGTAATGCAGTAATGAATGGTCTTCAAAAAAAAAAAGACTTTTGCAATTCAAGCTGAAAAACACACACTTACTAGATGGATTTAACCCTGCTGAAAGACATCCTAAGAAACCACTAGTGATTTCTTTAACCCTTTGTATGCCGTAGACACAAGGATGGTTTCTGTTTTGGAAGCATAGTAGTTTACTGGTTACGGGTGAGTGAATATTAAATGTTTTATATATGCTTGTGTAGTATCTATTTTAGTTCCTTTAAATATTTGATTTTAAAGATATACATTAATTCTGAAAATGAAACTTTTATTATTCTGTTAATGATAAAATATGTTGAAGAAAAATGAAATAGCATTAGATATTTTGATTACAAATATAGATTTAAAATAATGTGGTCCATTTATTTTTAATAAAATACACTGTTAAAAATGAAACTAAAGGAACCTCTGCATATATCCCACATAGGGATGTTTTTCTCTTTAAAAAGATAAATTATTTGCAAAGAAAAAGGCCATCAGGAAAAAAGACAGTTAAAATATAGAGAATGATTACAACTTATCAAAACATAGTATATCACTTTACAAAAAAGTTATTTTATTATAAAGGAAATAAAAAATAAGACACAAAATAGGGGTACAACATTTTCTAAGGATGTTTACAAAATCAATGAACAACTCTGTTTTTCCCTAATCAATGTTCTTTTTATTTAGTATTTAGTTAAAATCTGAAAGAGTACTTACAATGACAGCAACACCATAGCAATTAAGGTCCATTCTGCAGGTTTGTGTATAATATTTCTATTTGTTAATCTGAAAGATAGTAAGATAAAATTTACCAAAGGATTGTTATATTTTTCTATTTATAGAAAAGTCAGAAATATAACATCCTGTGTCAAAGAGCACTATTTTTTTTTTATTCTTGTTAGACTTGATAAGAAAGAGTCAATCTTATATAATAAAATGCTAATATGCAAATTGTTCCCTTGATCGGGAGTTCGAACAGGAGTTCAATTGGGAGTTCGACCAGTGGGCAGGGCTGGCTGGCCAACTGCCCACAGCCCCTCCCTCCCGCCAGCCTGGCCAGACTCCACCCGTGCACAAATTCATACACTGGGCCTCTAGTAGCATAATAATATAGCTTGATATTCACTATCTAATAATGACCATCTCAAAAGTAAATATTCCAGTCCTACAATTATGTATTTATAACAATAATACTATTACACGTAATGGAAATAAAGGAACAACATGGGAAACTAAATGGCATGGTTTATTAAAATACACACATCCCTATAACCATATGCTTTATGTTTTCCCCAATCAAACGTTTTATTAAAGCTAACAAGGTAAACAATTTTTTATTTTAATTCTAATTCATCTTTTGTGCCTTTCTACCTCATGCTAGGTTGCCAGTAGTCAAATAAGGGGTGTCATACTCCATAATATACAGAAATGAGCATTCACTTAATACATTTTAAGGCATATTAAAAAAAACCTTAAGTTTTAAAAAATCAGCAGTAAATTCTACCACTTAGAAGTTGATGACAACAAAATGTTATAATTACCTTAGTTTCTCAGAAAGCATTTAAAAAGATTGCTCTAAATAAAAAATAGTATCAATCAATCAGGAAAAAGCAGCCAATATTACCTGATAAAAGGATGTTATCCAAAATATACAAAGAATGCTTAAAATGTAACAGCCCAATTAAAAAAATGGGCCAAACACCTTAATAGACACTTCACCAAAGATAAACAAATGACAGATGGCTCCATATTATATGCCATCAGAGAAATGCAATTTAAAACAAGTTAACACTATATACCCATTAGAATGGTTAAAATCCTGAACACTGACAAAACCAAATGAAGATAAGCACATGGAGCAAAAGGAACTCTCATACATTGCTGGGGGGAATGCAAATGGTACAGCCACTTTGGAAGACAGATTGGAGGTTTCTCAACAAGTAAACATACTTCTATCATATGATACAACAATCACGCTCCTTGGTATTTACTCAAAGACGTAAAAAATTCATGTCTATACAAAAATCTACACACAACATTTACACCAGTTCTATTCATAATTGCCAAAACTTGGAGATAACCAAGAGACTTTCAGTAGGTGAATGAATAAATTGTGGTATATCTAGACAAGGAAACATTCAGCTGTGATAAAGAAGTGAGTTATCAAACCAAGAAAAGACATGGAGGTACTTTATATGCATATTACCAAAGTGAAAGAAGCCACTCTGAAAAGGCTACATACTGTATGATTCTAATTATACCACATTCTTGAAAAAGGTAAAACCATCAAGATAGTAAAAAGATCAGTAGTTTCCTTGGGGGAGAAAGGGATGGGGAGTGGGTTGGACAGGGATAGATGAATAGGTGGAATTCAGAATTTTTAGGGCAGTGAAAATACTTTATGATACTATAATGATTGATACATGTCATCATACATTTGTCCAAACCCATAGAATATACAAAAATCACTAGGTGATAATGATGTTGTCAATTTAGATTTACCAACTGTAGGAATGTTGATAATAAGGTATACATCTAAATAAAATGTTACAAAATACTATATAATCCATTAATTCTGAGTAGAGAATATGTATATCTTTGTTAATCTGAATTTTTTTTCAATAGTTAAAATGTTTTACAAAATTTTAAAAATTCTAGATGATATAAAAAATACAGTATAGTGGCTAAAAGGTTTGACAGACATGGACTCAGTACACATATCAATCACTTAGTAGTGTTTTACCCTGGTCACACTCAACAGCTGTAAAACTTTTTTTTAATTTAGTAAAATAGGAACAATGTACTACCTATCCCAGGGTGTTTTTTTTTTTATGAGGATTAAGTGTACAAAAGACGTCCACGTTGCCAAATTCAACTGACATCTCTGAGTCCTCTTACTCTATCAGCAGCATTTGACACAGTTGATCACTCCCTTCTCCTTGGAACACTTTCTTCAGTTGGTTTCCAATTGCCTGATTTCCCTCTCTCTCACTAGCATTCTCTCCCAGACCTCTTTTTAAAAAAATATATATTGCCGAAACCGGCTTGGCTCAATGGATAGAGCATTAGCTTGGGGACTGAAGGGTCCCAGGTTCGATTCTGGTCAATGGCATGTACCTTGGTTGCAGGCATATCCCCAGTAGGGGGTGTGCAAGAGGCAGCTGATCGATGACTCTCTCTCATTGATGTTTCAAACTCTCTTTCTCCCTTCCTCTCTGTAAAAAATCAATAAAATATATTAAAAAATAAAATAAATAAATTAAAAAATATATTATTTTTATTGATTTCAGAGAGGAAAACAGAGGGAGGGAGAGATAGAAACATCAATGATGAGAGAGAATCACTGATTGGCTGCCTCCTGCACCCCCTACAATGAGGTCATGTGCCCTGAATGCCTTCCCAGACCTTTTAATTTTGGTTTGCCCAGGGTCTCTGCCCTTGGGTCTCTGGTCTCCTCTATATATGCTCATTCCCTTAGTGATGCCATCTAATCTCATAGCTTTAAATATTAAATAACTATGTGCTATACTGAAACACATGTTGTATTTATTTCTTAAACATCTTCCTATAATCTATTATAAAGTTGAAATTAAATATAGAGAATGTTTTCACAGTTTTTTAACTCAAAATTTGTCAATCATTTTTAATACTAGTTTTTTGTTTTTTTTAAAAAAAAGAAAAAGGGATTTCAGGACAGGCAGTACCTTCTTTTAAAATTTATCAACAAAGAACCATTAACTGCACAGTTGCTGTTAGCTGCCTGTTCTAAAACAAGTCTTTTTATTGAAACACAAATAAACTTTTCTGTAATATTTTATGGAATATAAAGAGACTTCAATTGACTTATTTAACATGGCACTGTTAGTTTTTATTAATAAAATGCACATGGACACTTAAAAAACAAACAAACAAAAACTATGTGCTGACAATTCTCAAATTTATTATCTCTAGCCTGGGCCTTTTCCTTGAATTCCAGACTTCTGTATTTAATGGTCTACTTGACATTTCCACTTGAATGTAAATAGGCTTCTCTAAACATAATACAGCCCAGACCGAATTCCTCATTTTCCCCCTACAAACTGGTCCTTCTGCAGACAGCTCCATCCCAGTAAATAGCTGCCCAATCCAGTTGCTCAAGTCAAAATTCTCGTGCTTAAACTTGTCAGCCATCATGTCCTATGTCAAATAAGCCATCAAGTCCTGATGGTTCTATTTTCAAAAAGAATCCGATTACTTATTACCTCCACTCCTTTCATCTTGGTCCATATCATTTTTTGTTTAGATGACCAAAACAGCATCCTAAAAGGTCTTTCTGCCTCTGCCCATCTATTTTAATTCTGAAGTTATCAGCCAGAGTGCTGCTGTTAAAGATGTATCAGGTATTGTCATTCCTCTGTTCCAAATCCACCAACCGTTCTCCATCTCAGAGTAAAAGTAAAAGAATGACCATGGCTACAAGGTCTGTATAATCTGTACCATACCCACTCCCACCCAAATTTGTTTGTATCTCTTTGTAGCTTTGCCTCTGCTCATTTCTCCAGCCTCATTAGCATCCTTAATGTTCTGTGAATACACCAGGCCTGCTCCTGCTCCTGCTCCTGCTCCAGAGCCTTTGTACCTTCTGTTTCTGATCTGATGTATTTTCATAGATAGTAGCATGGTTTGTCTTTCACCACCTCTTAGATCTTTATACAAATGGCATCTTCTCAATGAGGTATTCCCTGACCAACCAATTTAAAATGACTTCTTCCCTCGTCAGTACTATCCCTTTTCCTTCTTAGGGGAAAGGGAGGAGAATGAACTGAGAAAGGGGATAGGAATATCACCACATAATAATAATATACATATTGTTTTTAAAAATTTACATATCCTTTTTATTAGAATAGTTCCATGAGAGAAGGAACTTTTGTGTTTTGTTCACTGCTTCACTGGTAGCAAAACAGAATCTAGCACATAACCATAAAAGGTTAAAGAATAAGCATGTGGGAGGGGGGAAGGGCAAATGTAATTAAGTAGAATCCAAACATCTAAAATTAAAACAAATTTAAGATTTAATGAATTTCTTTATTCATTCAGCAAAAATGTATTGTGTACCTGCTTTATCTAATCTACTCCATTTCAGGCACCAAGGAAAGCATGACAAGATCTTTGCTTTCACTTTAAGTGGCAGACTCAAAAATTTTTATTTGCTCTCATATTTTTCCTTTTACTAAGTCAAAATAATTTCAAGCACAGACGCTAAATAAATATATTTATTATTGTCTGAGTAATAATTTCAATATGAAAATAGGAATATTTGATATAAAGCATTTAAAAAGCACGGTTTCAAAATATAATTTAAAATTCAATACAAACATTAGGAAAAAGGCTTGATTTATCACTGATGAGATTTAAAAAGAACTTTTGTGTCAAAATGTAATTTTAATTTAAATCTGACTTAGAAAAGTCTCTTGAGTCAACACGGAGGACAGTGAACTATTACTGAACAACTTCAGATGGAACTACTATGACAGGTAAATCAATATAACATTCCGGATAAATGACTGTGATGCAATTCAGTGGAAAGGACAGCTCTAGTCACTGGGGAAAGATTCTTCAAAGAGCTGAAAAAGCTGCTTGATGTTTAAGTTATAACAGGCTTTCAACTTTGGCTGCACAAAGGAATCACCTAAGGGGCTTTAAAAAAAATACTAATGTTCAGGCGTCGAGTAGAAGGATGCTGCATGGACATGCTTCCAGGAACAAGCTGGAATTACAACTGAAATATGGAAAGGCTTCCAAATAAT